TCTTGGGAATGGACCAGGAACAAAACTATTGCCTGGACTCCCCAGGGATAATAAGCTTCTTGAGGACATGACTTTCATTCTGTACTAGGAGGCAGTATACTACAACACTAAAAGCTTGGGCTTTGGGGTCAAATCTTAACTCTGCTGTTTTCTAGCTATGTAATCTTGGCCAGTTATGCAACTTCTTTAAGTTACAAAAGTGTCCACCTCATAGGGATATTGTGAGGATTAAATTAAATGACACATGTATAGCATGTGATATGGAGCATAGCCTATAGCAAGATAAATTTGAGTGGTGGCTATTCATTACATTTATTTCTTGCACCTAGCAAGAGGTCAATAAATAATTATTGATTGAATGAATAAATCATGGTCTTCAGATTCTCTTCATTAACATCTCTGGCATGCTTATCTCAGGCTGCTGAATGCTGAGCCAAAATGATGACATGAACATAGTTCTGAGAGCACATGGGTTCTGTGTGCCATCTCCCTCAAGACAAATCACTGGTTTTATCATGGCCTTGAAAAAAAAAATGAACAAAGGCTGGAGGACCCATCTGTCAACTCACTCACTGGTGACAAAAATGGACAGTGTGTGGGTAACAGTCTATCTGGCAGCTGGCCTCTCCTAGCACTCCTTGAAGGGGTAATTTGGAATGATGTCTCCCTCATCTATGAACTGTCTAGAACTTGGCATGAAAACAAATTAGCACTTGATTATGAGCTTTCACTGAGAGGGAGCCAGTTTTAGCCATCTTCTCAGGACCTGAGCAGTGGGAAGGAAGAGGTGCAGAAACCAGGCCCAACATTGAAATGGAATATTTGTGACCCCTCCTGCAAGTACAGGGATTCTAACCCTTGACCTTGGTAATATCGTGCTCTAACCAGCTGAGCTAACTGGCCAGACTCTTACCTGCACTCTCATCCCCCAAGGCAGCCCTGAGGATTTTTTGAGATTAATCTGCTGTCAGATTAATCTGGCTGCTCTGTTCAAAAACTCCATTGAGAAAATGTAAACTCAAATAAAACACCTGTCTCATGGAAAACAGGCTCCCTTCCTTTCCCCCAAAATAAAGACGATACATCTTTGAACCTATTTATTAAGCATATTCATGTAATGCCAGTCATAAACCCAAGTTGAAAATAGGTTTTTAGGACCAAGCCCGTGGCGCACTCAGGAGAGTGCGGCGCTGGGAGCGCAGCAGTGCTCCCGCCGTGGGTTCGGGTCCTATATAGGGATGACTGGTGCACTCACAGAGCTCACTGGCTGAGCGTGGTGAGGCCAGTCTCAAAAAGGACAAAAAAAAAAAAAAAAAAGAAAATAGGTTTTTAATGTGTGCTTACTCCGTCCATGTGCAAAGCATTAAATGTGGACCTAGTACACAAGTACATAGTTATCAGCTGTGTAAGTCTTCTTCTTTCCATATCATTTCCCTAATCAGGAAGAGGAGGGGCTGCTAATACTGAACTGTCTAGGCATTTCACTAATTCTTTTCACTGCAGTAGAATCGTAGCTATTGTCAACATCAAATAGTTGAGGTTGTCATCAATTCAGGGAAATGAGATTTCCCACACTTTACTGTAAAGTTCAGCCAGTGGCATCCATGTGTCAACTCACTGACCGACTGTTACAGCAGGAAGGCCACAGACAGCAGCAGATCCCATGTCTGCCTCCCGGGCTGCCGGCAGGAGCTGTATATACCCTCACTGTGACCCACTGTGAGCTCCTAGTGAGACCGAGGGAAGATGAGGCAACAGTGATGATCAGGGAGAAGTGACAGGTACCAGGGAAAAGTATCAGACAAAGGAAAGGTTTCCTGTGAATATAAAGTTATAAAGTCAATTTGCTAAAAGTGCTCATAGATGGCCTCTGAAGGCACTTCCAAGAAAGGAGATTCAGCAAATGTCTTATGTAAGGGTAGTGTTGTTTGGATCAGGATGCATACATACCTCTTCCAAGTAACTTCTGAGAAAAGCACAATCTTTAAATGTGAGAATTCTGCTTTTAAAACCATCCATTACTTATCGTTTACAATCCTTTAAGACCCAAGAAAGGGATGAACCAGCAATCGTTATCATCAGTTTTAAGGGGAAGAACAGAATCAAAGGTTGACTTTTGAGTTTGTGGATTTCAGAACAAACTCACTGCAGTATGTCTTTGAATTATGCTACCAAATTTGTCTTTGAGGTTTTAGACATTGTGAGACAAATAGCATGAGGTTAGGAATCAAAGGGTGAAAAAGCTAGGGGAAATAAAATTGGATTTATGCATTTAAAGTCAAATATATTTTACAGATAAAGCTGCTCAGGCTAATGAGATGAGGACAGAAGAAAGTGAACCTCTGACTTGTTGCAATAAAAGTGTCAGATATTATGAACAGGATAAGACCTCTACACACTAAGCTTTATCTTTTAAAATACAACTTTGCAATTTTTTTTTTACAACTTTGGTGTTGACCTATTTAATTGATTTAGAGTTTGTATAAATATATTATTTATTGTTCATTAAATATTTGTAGCTATTTCTGTGAAAATTTGAACATGGGGGTCCTGGATTGAGCCTCTATCTCTGGGAAAATAGCCTTGATTTATATCACTAACCAAGAGCATCTTTTTAAGTATGAGGATATTTCAGAATGTTCATGGAAAATTAGAATTGAAAGATAATACAAATCTTTCCATGAACTTTTGAAGTACCCTCATATATACCTCATGATGATTCTAAGGCCATCATCTATCCTTATAGAATGCTCCAAAATTCTAGCCATGTCTACCTGATAACAAAGTAATGACTCTGTTACATTCAGTGGGGGCAAAAAATCAAAGTGATTATTTGTGCTGTCTAGAAACAAATTTAGTTCAATTGAAATTTTAACTCTGATTGGGAGAACTATTTTATGGTGTGTATCTTCAAGTTTACTACCTAATCTTTGTCTCCTGATGCCTGCCCAGAGTTCTCTAAGCTCTTTTCTAAAGAACTCACTTGGTAAAGATACTCTGAAAGAGGAGGTGACCTCATTTGCAAACAATGAACAATCTGTGGTCCAGGAATCAGCCCAGCTAGGCTGCAGCTAAGAGAAGGAACTTCTCAAGGGGAAAGACGAAAACACTTGAAAAATTCTTGTGTACCCAATGTATGAAGAACATTGCCTCAAACATGGTATTTCTTTCATTTTCAGATCTGGCTGAAAATGAGAATGTTTTCCCCACCATGCCACAGAAGACTTGTTCACTGAGCATCCATGACAGTAGACTGTGTTTGTAATGCACATATGCGAAAGATGCTGTCCTTGTTCAAAAGGAATTTACAATCTAGCTGGGGATGGCAGCCATATAACAACCTGGTATAACAGGCCAACTGAAATGTGCTGTTATAGGAATGGGACAAGTTAACCAAATGACCCTGGATTTATGAGTGAAATTCTCATTCATGGAGAAGCCAGGGCAAGCTGAAAGAACAGTAAGAAGGAGGCTGTTGGTAAAATAGAATAGTTTAATCAGAGTCCCTTGCCTTAGGTCTGATTGGGGGTGGTGCAGCACATTCTTTGTAAATAAGTTGTGTGTGGGTAGAGTTAGTGCACCCGCACAGTGCCACAACTTGGCTGGTGTCTAGTGCCTTGGGAGTCTGCCCGTGCGGCCATGCTCTGAGACCTATGGTTCCAAGGACCTTTTGGCTTGTTACCTAGCTCACAGACCTGCATGTGAGGGGTCTGATGACCCGGCCTGGCATGTGAAGGGTTTGTGACCCAGTCTGGAATGGGCTTGAGGGGTCTGTGAGCTCCAGACCCAGCCCTAGCATGACAATTGGCATAGTTGACAGGATTACAGGCAGGTAAAAGAGCACTACAATGGCATAGTCTGCAACAGGATTCTGAGCAGGTATAGGAGCTGAGAGCCCTTGGAAGAAGGAGGAAATGTGGCTACTTTTGAATATGCTCTGCCCTATGGCCACCTTCCTGTTGACCAGGATCTGGTTGCTGCACACTGTACTGCAAGGCAGCATAGACCATGCACTGTGGCAGAAAACCCCTTG